CTCAAAATCTACGGTGATTCTTCACTAATCATTAACCAAATCTCCAAGAGATGGAAAGTGAGAAGTGAAAGTCTCGCTACGTATCAAGCTCATTTAGAAACTCTCACGAAGCAACTAGATGAAGTGGAATATACGTATTTGCCGAGAGAAGAAAACCAATTCGTCGACGCACTAGCTAAATTAGCATCAATGGTGCGAATTCCAACTGATACAATCAGAATTCCACTGACCATAGAAAGAAGGTATGAACCGGCTTATGTTCACGTACTCGACGATGAACAAGAACCACAAGAAGAAGATGAAGAGCCATGGTATACAGATATCCTTAACTATGTGACAAAAGGAGAATACCCTCCTAATACTGATAAAAGGGCACGCCGTGCTTTGAGGCTCCTGGCCTCACAGTATGTGCTCATCAGGGGAGAACTCCACAAGAGAACTGCAATAGGGAGAAATCTCTTATGCATAGCCAAGAAAGAAGCACATAAAACCATGCAAAACCTTCATGCCGGTATATGTGAAACGCACATGAATGCAAAGATGTTAGTCCAAAAGATTCAACGGCAAGATTATTATTGGACTGCTATGGAGAGAGATTGTCACGAATACGTCAAGAAATGTATGAAGTGTCAAGTCTACGCAAATTTACAGCATGTTCCACCTTCGCTTCTCTACACATATACTTCTCCATGGCCTTTCTCCACTTGGGGCATCGACATCATTGGAAAAATAACACCACCAGGACAAGGGGGGCATGAATTCATCCTCGTAGCAATCGGCTATTTCACCAAATGGGTCGAAGCTGCCTCATATGCTAAGCTGACGGCAAAACACGTAGCTCAATTCATTGAGAAAAATATCATATGCCGCTATGGGGTACCACATGAGATGATCAGTGATAATGGAACACATTTCCAAGCCGAATGCGCGGAATTATTACAGAAATATCATATCAAGCATCACAGATCATCACCTTACAGACCACAAACAAATGGTGCGGTCGAATCGGCCAATAAAAATGTGAAAAATATCATCGAACATTACAAGGACTGGCCAAGTAAGCTACATTTCGCCCTTTGGGGATATCGAACCTTTGTTCGTACATCAACGGGGGCAACCCCTTTCTCTTTGGTCTATGGAGTTGAAGCTGTACAACCAATTAAACTCGAAATCCCTTCTCTACGAATCGCATTGGAAAGCCAACTAGATGAAGTCGACTGGATTAAAGCTAGATATGATGAACTGGTCTTACTTGATGAAAAACGCTTGGCAGCTTTGCATCATGTCCAAACCTACCAACAGCGTATGGCACGACATTTTAATATAAAAGTCAAGACTAGGAACATCAAAGAGGGTGACCTGGTGCTTAAGGCACTTCGTAAAAATGTGTTAGATCCAAGAGGAAAATTCAGACCAAATTGGTCAGGCTCGTACATTGTTAAAGCCATCTTGTCTGGCGGAGCAGCGCAATTAGTAGACATGGACGGTAACGGTTTCCACAATTTAACCAACTTGGATCAACTCAAGAAATTCTATGCCTAGTCGCATGGGTTCATGACCTAATAGAGCTATGTTTGGCCTGATTCCTTTTTAGGATACGTAGGCAACCCCTCAAGGGGGCCCGGTCACTTTAAAAAATAAAAATCCTCCCTCCGTCGATCAAGTATACACGTCAGTTCAGCATTGCGTCACGACAAAAAAAAAAAGGGAATTGCCGTGATGCGGGAATTTGTAACGTGTCACGGGATTTTTCACTGTGACACGGTGGAATTTCAAGTTTTCCGATTTTTTTAGTGACGCATTCGTTGCGAATTCATTGTTTGTTCGAGGTTTTTATTTTCGTTCTTCCATTGCATCCGACTCCTTGACTCGGATAAATAAATAAATAAATGTCATTGTAATTTTTATTTAAGGCTGAAATAAATATACTATTATTGAAATAAATGTGACTACAATTATTGGCATCATACGCCTTATTTTAAATAAAAAATTATAAATCATAAAAGCAAAGCAATATTGATCTAATCCCTCTTCACTTTAGGAACCTCCTTCTCTTTTTCAATTAGGTCGGCCTTCACCATTAAAGTGTCTTTTGTAGCCCGAACCGTCACACCCCTAGTCGAACTTTCACCCCTTTCACCTTTCTTAAAATTCTTCGGTTGTTTCTCTCTATAGACCATCTTCTCTTTACCCTTCCCTTTCACATAACTCTTCCTTTTCGGCATTATAGGAGTCTTAAACTCAATCCCTTGTGTTCTTGGACCTAGACGATCTTTAGGAGGTGCTTTCTTGTTTCCAAGACGACTCTTCACATCAGACTTGCGTGATCCGAATCATTCCCTCCTACTTCTAGGGTTCAACCATGCCTTCTATGCACTAGATAAAGGAGGAGGAGCTTGGTCACTTGCAGAAACGATCCACAAAGGTCTTCCAATCCAGTAAGTCTCGTACTTGTGAACGTTACTTTCATGCAACGATACTTCACGAGGACTATCGTTATAGCGTGGAACTACTTGTTCAAGTCCATACTGCCGCATCAGTCGAGAAGGACAATAAAAGGTCAGTTTTGAGATACTAGGAACACGGCAATATGGAGTATCATTCGTGCCAACCATCCTAGTAAGCCTCCACCAAGGCACCACCCAACGAAAGGAAAATTCCCTCTTTGCAAAGAAATTTTTCCAGTCTTCATACGACATGTTCACAGAGTAATTCTTTTTCCTGCGAATTAGGTCGTTAGGGCCATATTTTTCAACATCGTCGGGGGCTTCAAATAATTCTAAACGCTCCATCAACTAAATCTGCGCCAAAAAAAAATCAGTCGTTAAAAAAAAAAATGTGCAAATTCCCGTGAGACGGCAGACTACACCGTGTCACGGCAGACACCCACCGTGACACGGTGCCTGTTTTGTGTCATGGGAGTTACTTGGAGCATATTTTTACCTGCAACAGTACCAGAGAGCCCTTCCTGATGGCTTTCCGGTCAGCTTTTGCTTCGTCAAAGCCACGAAATGTTTCTCCAAGGCACATAGGCATAGGAGATCTCCCAGATTCGACATGTTCAAGCACAGACGCTAGACAAGCATGTCCTACCCTACTGTTTGCAAATAAAAGCTTGCTAAACATGCAAAAAATATATACCCTTCTACGATATATGTGATAAGACTCAGAGATAGGGCGATTAAAATATAAATTTGCAAGTTTTTCTAAGTCTACCTCATTACCACATACAATTCTATTTAAATCTGGATCTGTTAGATTCAGATGGCGTTCAAAATCTTGGTAATAATATTCACGCAGGGTAGGCATGGCAATAAGATTTCTAGCAGGAAATCCAAAGATTGCACCGAATTCCTCCGGCAGGGAACAGATTTCATCATAATCAAACTTAAAACAATGTGTTTCTGGACTCCAATAATCTAATGATGCCCTAAGAAAATCATGCTCAATAGCTACATGTCGCAGGGCTAGTAAACCCCTGACATGAAATAATTCTAACTCTCTTTTTTCAGCATTGGTCAAAGAATAAGACCAGTCACGCAATGTATTATCAAAATTCTGAGACATGATTATTGAAATATGAAATTCTAATTATTTTGTGTTTCGTAATTATGCATATCATGAATATACTGGTCCTATTTTATAGCAAAAGCGCTCAGAACTTCTCAGAAATTATCTTTTTGTATACGCAAACCACACCGCTGTAGAATACGCGTACCGTGACACGGGAAATCCCGCTGTGTCACGGGAACTTTTACCGCGACACGACAGTTTTTGCCGTGACATGGTGTACAGTGCCGTGACACGGTGTACAGTGCCGCGTCACAGCACCCTACGCGTTTTCTTTGTTCATCTTTTCCCGTATCTATCCGGATTTTTTTTAGTATTTTATCTTCACCGTTTATTTTTCAGTTTTCTAAGAGTTTTATTCCTAATAAATTTCTCAACTTTTTTATTTTTATTATTATTATCTTTATCATCTCATTTTATTTTATTTATTTATTCATCACTTTAATATTTCATTTTTTTTTATCATTTTATTTACTTATTTATTCTATTTCTTTTTACTTGTCTTTTTATTTCTTTTTCTTTTGGGGAAGGTCGGTACCCTCCACTTACGTTTTTTGTCGCGTCATTAATAAATACACGATCACACACAATGAGTCTCAAGCTCACACTAACACACACTAATAAATACATAAACTGTGAATAATGTACAAAATGAGTCATAATAAATAAACAGTGTCAAGTGTCATCATAGTATGTACAAATAAAAACCCTTGGTCAAAAGTCTCTAGAACTAGAATCAGTATCATATCCACCCTGTGAATATGGGAACGGTGAGCCAAAGAGTCCCGCCATCATCCGAGTACGGGGAGTAGTGTCCCTACTAGTCCCTGTGACTCCAGTAGTAGTCAAACACAAGGCAGGACCCGTCCAACTGGCAAACGGTGTAGACAGACTCAAAGACACGGGAATCCTCAGTGAAGGCATCGTCCCATACATCGGAACTGAGAACAAGCCCGACACCGGTAGAGGAATCCTAGACAATGGAGCTGAAAATAAACCAGGATCCACGGGAGTCAAAACAGGCCCAAGCTCAGGCTGTGAAGGCTGTGAAAACGACTGTCGCTGCCCCTGACTCTGACCCGGAAAGCGCTGGGAAGACTGAGGCTGCTGCCACCGAGCCTTTTGAAACGGCTGAGTAATCTGAGGCTCTCGCTAAGACTGAGAATGCTGATGAATCCCAGGAGATCGTCTACCACGATCAAGCTCCTCCTCGTCCGAGCCTCTATGCCTCGAGCACGAGCGGGACCTCTGTTGCTCCAAAAAGATACAAAATTAAAAGGCGTCAACAAATGCAAAATAAAAACAAATGGTAGAAGTGAAAAAAAAATGAGGCTACCTCAAGAACATCGCTAGAACTGCTCCGACAACTCGCACCACGTCGAAGCTTGATGATGCAGTACTTCAGGGCGTCAACCAGCTTCATGAATCCCATCATCTCCGGGCGTTTAGGCTGAGGATAAAACAAAGAAAAAATCAGTAACAAGCGGTGATAAAAGGATGAACAATGCATCAAAGAAAACTTACCAGCTCAAAGACCTCGGGCAAAGACTCCTGCGCTTGTCTGTAACCCTCTGGCGCGTCAGCAATATGGTCCTTGTTAATACCAATCGGCCCCGGGTAGCGGACCGACTGAGGCGGAATCTCGATCCTCCTTACAGGGCGAATAGTCGTCTGAAAATATGATTGAATAATCAAGTTATTTGACTATTTAAAACAGAGACTAGTAACAAAGATCCTCAAAATAAATCATACCTCGGGAAGTTGGGGTGGAGGAGCCAGAGAGGGAAGCAAGTCATGCGCATAATCACCCTCCATGTGCACAAGCTCCTGCCAAGGAAAATTGTAGCGCTCTCCCCTGTTTATCAACTCCCTAATCAAGCGCGAGTCCAGCATCGACTCTGGTGGAGATGAGGGCACCACAAAGCGATCGCCGCTATGTTGACGAATGACACGCTCCCCCAAATGCCAGACAAAGCGTCCAGTACCAACCAAAATGGTGCGGTGCGCTGAAAGACGCAAGGCCTCAGGAAGATAAGTCATCCCGGCCCAAGGACGATACTGGACATCAATGGTAACCCGAAAACCATAAAAGTTGGCATGAAACACCGGAAACAACGTCAGAGGGAAAATAACAGGAAACAAAACTAATTCTTACGCCAACAGAAGAGGTGCCTCGGCGTAGTAGCCCACGCAGCGTAGGGACAGACTCCACCCGTGACTCTCCTCGATCACGCCAGCTGGCCCCGACAGGGAAATCATGAACCGCTCCACGACGCCGTCGAGGAGCCAAACCTGGGAAGTACTCGTAGAACCATAGCTGCAATGAAAAGTAGTCTTTGAGCACATGAGTCGAACAAATTAAAATGAAACAAGAAGAGAAAAATATCATCACCTCTACGACTCTCCACAGACCGTAAACAGTGATGAGAGACTCGTCGTTCAGCTGCCGACAGCTATGACGTAGCGATGAGAGATGGTCGGCGTATCCGAGGCTGGCCCAGCTATAGGATCCTATCTCACTGATCCTTACCAAAGAAGGAAGGTAGCAAAGGAGTGTGCGTGAACTCCTATCAGGAGAAAGAGTCATAGAGATCAGAATCAGAATGAAGATCCGCACTCGCTGCTCAGCCGATGTCTCCTCCATGTCGAAGCCACGAGCTAGAACTGAAGCCAGCTCCGATCGCCCGCTCCTAGGACCACCTTGAGACACTGGTCGGGTCCTGATATGCTGAACGATCGAACCTAACAAATCGGCTGCCTCAGCCGCTCCCCAAGACAGATCAGACATCTGAGCTACGACCCGGTCAGTGAAGCGCAGCCCGCTAATCATACTGAAGTCCAGAGGGGTCACTGTCATCTCCCCCCAAGTAAAATGAAAAGTGGTGGTAGTATCCCAAAAATACTCCAACAATGCTCGAACGACCGTCGCACCGCAACCCTAGGGGCTGCGAAATCCTACAACCGCCGTATATAAATCTACTAAACTAGCCGATTCCCACAGGGCGTTCGTAGCAGGATCCCTCGTAATGATCTGGTGAAGTCGAGGAATCAAATCTCCGGCTCTAGAATCGTGGTGGCGAAGCGTGCCGTCGACTATGCCGGAGAGTGGGCGATGAGAAACGTGGTTTTCACGGCAGAAAACCAACTGGTCGGGAGTCCACAGAGGTGGAACCCACACCTACCTCTACTCGTAGAAGCCCAAGGCTCAGACTCTAAGACATCGTCGTCCATGCCCTCGGGAATAGTGGGAGTGTCCTTCCGAAAAGCCTGACGTCGGCTGTGGGTGGAAAGATCGCGATCCCGTCGCCTAGGCATGCTATTATAAAAATAAAGATCTAAATGCTTAGCATCATTTCCTAAGTTATTTAGTTGTTTATCGCATTATACGCTAAATTTTTACCTCAAGGCTAAAAATTGGCAAAATTATGGAAGTATTTATAGTATTTAGTTTCTCCATGACAAACTAATACTATAGTTCTCCTAGCCGCATGATACTATGTTCTCCATGACAATATAGTACATACACGAAATATGTTTTGGAATTGCACAAAAATGATGAATCAACACTTCATGACATATTTTACAAGATCTACCACCAATATTTCACCATTTCAAGTGCAAAGAGGTAACATGAACAACAAGAACATCATTTCACAAAAAGTAGTACCCAAAAATGGTGATTTGCTCAATTCTCCATCAAATCATACAATTTCTGTCTCAAATTTCACACAAATACACATACAAGTAAACTCATGGCAAGAATTTCAACATAAAACCTCAAAATCAAAAATCCCCAAATTGATTACTAAAGGTTTTTTCATGAAATTACTCATTTGAGACAAATTCAAGACAAAATTGAGAGGAACTTACATGGATCCTTATAGGGGTTCGAATATGAGGAGTATAGCAAAAAAATTTGAAGTGAATTTGGTGAAAAATCGAGCAACAAAAGCTCGAAAATAACTCCAGCAACCCAGCTCACTCACCGCGACACGGGAAGCAGCGTCGCGACACGGTTGCTGTCTTACGTGTCACGGAGCCTCTAAGACAACGACGGAGCTCCGGCGACACCAGCGGCGACTTCAGGCGACAGTAACAGCTGTACAGTGGTAAGCAGCAACGAGCAACAGTAAGTTTCAGCGAAAAAAAAAAAAAAGAGAGAGATTTTCGCCGTGATACGGGAGGAAATCACTGTCCGACGGGAAAGCAGTTCCGAGCGACGGTGAAGCTCAGCGTGGCTCGGTGGTTTAAGCTGAAGGAAAAAGGAAAATGGAGAAAAGGGAATGCGGAAATGGCGAAAATGGCAGAAGAAGCTTTCATTTAAAGCAAGGAAAAGCATCCCGTATCCCGTGCAACGGGTCCTATTCCCATGTAACGGTCATATAATGTGTGGTGCGCATGCTTTGACTGGTCAAAGATGCCAATTGACTGGTTTTCAGCCGACAGGATTCCCGCGTCACGGGAGTTTGCTCTGCGACACGGGAATTGATCCCGTCTGACGGCAAAGTTTTACCATGTCGCGGGATGCTTCCACGTGGCACGGGGTTCAGAATATTCTTTTGCACTTTTTTCTAAGTTAGCAACGAATATTTCTGGTATTTTTTATCAAAGCTGCACAATTTTCCGCGCAAATTGGACAGTTATTTTTTCGCTGGAATTACGCGGAAAATTTTAACTGATACTTAAAGGGGACTAAAATTACCATTTTACCCCTAGCAAGCATCAAAGTCTATTTTTCGACACCTAATATGGTCGGATAATCGATTTGAAGGTGTGAATCATCTGCGGCCCACGTTCGGGGATAATCGAACCATCATACACTTGCAAATCTCAGCAATTACAGTAGTCGTCGGCTTTCCTCAAGCATGGAAAGCGTTATCGGTGGATTTTTCTTCAAGTATAGAAAACTGCCAAGTCGGCTTTCCTCAAGCATGGAAAGCGTTATCGGTGGATTTTTCTTCAAGTATAAAAAACCGCCAAGTCGGCTTTCCTCAAGCATGGAAAGCGTTATCGTGGATTTTTCTTCAAGTATAGAAAACCGCCAAATTCCTCTGTCGGCTTTTCTCAAGCATGGAAAGTATTATCCGGTTGGTTTCTTCAGGCTTAGAAAACTACCAAACTCTTCAGTCGGCTTTCCTCAGGCATGGAAAGCGTTTCAACAAATGTCACCTGGTGGATTCCTTCAAGCATAGGAAGCTGCCAAATTCGTTTGTCACCGATACACTGGTGCCAGATAGGTATTCTATCCTTTTACTCTCTTATCTGCGGAATTAACATTTTTCTGCAGGTATCGGCGTATACAGAGTGATTTAGGATCGCAGAACGTCTTAAATCATTCTCCGTCCCTATCGGCTACTTTGACTATCGTTTTCGAAACTGACGTTTCTACAAACTCAGTCAAAGTGGGGGCTTTTGTAGACACCTAAAAATGTCTCCCCAAAACCAAACCCGATGATGAACAACCTTTCACCGCTACTATTGGTCGGGTTCAGTATTTAATCCCGAGAGTGCTTAAAAAACCGTATTTGATTAAATTCATATTTTTAAAACAGTCCATGGATTAGTCTTGATGTTTGGTAAAAGCATAGTTTTAATTTCAGCCCAAACTTATTATTTAATTTTAGCCCAAACCTTTTTTATTTTATTGTTTTATTATTTATTTTTGGCCCAAACCTTTTATTTATTTTTTTTTGATTATTTTCTTATTTTAGCCCAAATGATAATAAGTCAGAAAAGGCCCAAAATTATCAATCGGCACTTAAAATGCCGAATGAAATTAGGGTTAAAAATGTATTTAGACGGAAAAGTGGGCTGGGAATTCCCGCGCCACGGCAGGTACCCACCATGTCACGGGAATTAGTCCCGTCTGACGGTGGGATTTCCCGTGACACGGGAAATTCCGTGTCTTTTCCGCGTAAACCCTTAACGCGTTTTCTTCCCCGTTTTCTGAAAATTTCCCGCGTCACACCAAAAATGCACCGTGTCACGGGAATGTTTCCCTTCTGACGGTGGGACTTCCCGTGTCACGGTACAGTTTTCCGTGTCGCGGGATACGTTTTTAGGGTTTTTATCATTTTAGGGTTCCGTGTGCTCCCTCAGCACATTTTCTCTATAAATACCCCCTCATTTCTGATGAACGGGGCATCAATTAATCTCTAGTTTTATTTTTTCTCTCTTCTATGCTTTAGCCTAAACACTAGCCTACCCTTCTCATTTCAAAATTCCTTTTTCAAGTGCTCAAAGGAGTTCATACTTTACTCGTGGTTCTGTCCTTAAGCCAAGGCGTGAAAGGTAGAACTGTTTGAGGGTTTGGCCCCAAATCAACTCTACTTTGTTTAATTTAATTTAATTGTTGTTTTATTATTATTTCCTTGAAGTTACTAACTCGTTTATTATTTTGTAGTTGCAAACAAACAGAATCAAAGTAAAAATTATGTTCCTTTTATTTCTATTATTTTTCTAACGATTTTATATTGTTAGAATTATTGTTAAATTGCTTCCAATATTAATGTTTATTCTATTATATTTTTATTGATCACCATATTGCATGTTTAAAGGGAATATGTAATTGAAAATCACGACTAATAAGATAATTTGGACAACCGGTTTAGGTTCCTTTTTAATCTTGTTGCTTAATTCAAGTGATCACAAATATTTTAGAATAATGTGTTGCATTAATATTCAACCAATTTAGCTTAATAATAGTTTGGAGCAAATTGAATATTTTGTTTGTATTCCTTTGAGATCACAGGAATGCTTTTCAATATAAGAA